TCGTAGAACTTTTTTATCGAATTCGAATACATTTCTAGAATAAATATGGCACTAATAATTTTGACGCGTATAAACGAAAACAAAATTTAGATTTTTATTATTTGCACACAATTGACATTATCCACTTATTTAGTTCGTAGAACTTTTTTATCGAATTCGAATACATTACTAGAATAAATATGGCACTAATAATTTTGCCGCGTATAAACGAAAACAAAATTTAGATTTTTATTATTTGCACACAATTGACATTATCCACTTATTTAGTTCGTAGAACTTTTTTATCGAATTCGAATACATTACTAGAATAAATATGGCACTAATAATTTTGACGCGTATAAACGAAAACAAAATTTAGATTTTTATTATTTGCACACAATTGACATTATCCACTTATTTAGTTCGTAGAACTTTTTTATCGAATTCGAATACATTACTAGAATAAATATGGCACTAATAATTTTGCCGCGTATAAACGAAAACAAAATTTAGATTTTTATTATTTGCACACAATTGACATTATCCACTTATTTAGTTCGTAGAACTTTTATATCGAATTCGAATACATTACTAGAATAAATATGGCACTAATAATTTTGACGCGTCTAAACAAAAACAAAATTTAGATTTTTATTATTTGCACACAATTGACATTATCCACTTATTTAGTTCGTAGAACTTTTATATCGAATTCGAATACATTACTAGATTCGAATACAGATTCGAATACGATTACTAGATTCGAATACGAATTCGAATACATTAGATTTTTTTTCAGTATGGTAAAAAAATTTTTTTTTCGAAATAATCGGAAATTTTTTATAATTTCTTCAAAAAGTTTTTTTTCAAAATAGTAAAAAAATTTTTTTAGTAATTGAAAAATTGTTGGTTTAAAATTTAAAAAATATTATTTTAATTAAAGAAAAAATATTTTTAAAATTAAAAAAAGAATAGGTGGTGGTATTAGAAAAAAATAATTTTATTAAAAAGGATTTTTTTAATTAAGTGAAAAATTTTTTTTAATAATTGAAAAATTGTTGGTTTAAAATTAAAAAAATAAGATTTTAATAAAGAAAAAAATTTTTTTTAATTAAAAAAAAGAATAGGTGGTGGTATTAGAAAAAAATAATTTTATTATATTAAAAAGGATTTTTTTAAATTAAGTGAAAATTTTTTTTTAATAATTGAAAAATTGTTGGTTTAAATTTAAAAAAATATTAATTTAATTAAAGAAAAAATATTTTTAAAATTAAAAAAAAAGAATTGTTGGTGGTGTTAGAAAAGAAATTATTTTATTAATTAGGATTTTTTAATAATTAAGAGAAAAAATAATTAAAAAAATAAATTCAAAAAAAAAAAAGAATTAATTTCAAAAAATTCTTTAAAATTCACTCTCCTCATGTTCTTCTTCTTTGACGTTTTTATAGTGATACCCACATTTTGTAATATCAAAAGAAGGTAGGTTAACTTTGTATCGTATATCATTTACATCTCAAATTTAGAAAAAAATTTTTATAGAAAAAAATTTTTATAGAAATAATATTTAATCAAATTTTTAATTAAAAAAATTTTCATGTATAAATAAAATTTTTTTATAAAAATTTTTTTATAAAAATTTTTTTATAAAAATATAAAAATTTTTTATAGAAAATTTTTTTAAAAAATCTGTATAGAAAAATTTTTTTAATTTTCTAAAAATTTTAATTCAAAAATTTTTTAATATTATAAAATTATTAATATTTGAAAATTTTAAAGTTACTACTTGTATCTAAATTATTGAGGAAAATTTTAAAGTTACTACTTGTATCTAAATTATTGAGGATATTAAATATGTGCATATAAATTAAAAAAATATTAATCTTCAAAGTAGTTGTAATCTTCAAAATAAAAGGGACGGGGCACCCAGACAAGCCTTAACCTTTAGGAAAGGGCGGTAAAAAATGGAATAAGTACGTATGACTAACTACTTAAATCTTATTAAGAATATCATAATGATTACTCATAGATCCAAAAATTCAAATTAATTCAAAAATTCAAATTTAATGTTGCTGTGTGAAGGGGTCAGAACCAAATTTTTAAAAAATTGCCTACTAATATTAAATAACTACTATAAAAACAACCACTTTTACTAATTCTACGACCACTTTTTGCCTTCTTTCTTGCTTTAATTCTCTTTACATTTATTTTTCTCTTGGTGGCGCATAGCTTGGGGTTGCATTTTGTCCATTTCTCTTTTCGCCACGACTCATATTATATTGGAAAAGTGGTTGTCTGTTGAGTAAAATTAAGTGGCTGTGTGTTTGCGAATTGCAAAATAAAGTGGTTGTTTGCACAGGAAATGGAAAGGAAAAATGTATAGGAAATAAATAATTCTCGACTTAGCAGATATTAAGTCCTTCCGTGTTTCTTGATGCCCTTTTACTTAAATTCTTAGCATCAAATCAACTTGATTATGGTACTTTCTGAAGACTCAAATGTGCTACTTTGATTTTTAACCGTTTTAAATCGATTTCTGTTCATTTAAATTGGCTAGGGATCTATTAATTTTTGAGTGTGGCCGAAGGTCGAGAGTCCGCGCCGAGATTATAGCGGTTTTTGGTTTAAATCACGAAGGACAAGCATGAATTCATCTGAGAATAAATTCTCGGCTGAAAATAAGAAATTCGCTTTAATCTCGATGAAAAGAGAAAAAAATTTGAAAATAATGTAGCCTTTTGGCTGTGTTGGTAAAGTGAAAAGTTGAGATTTTGTGTTGAGACGAAGCGTCCTTGTTGAAGGATATGAATTTTATGCCAATTCATTGCTGAATTGGCAAGATGAGCGTTTGGTCGGTTCGAAGCAAACTTTTAAGTGCTCGTAAAGCCAGCAAGTGGCCCGAGATTGATTGTGAGACCAAATCTGTCTCGCCTCGTGGTCGTTCTGGCGCCGACGGTGCGAGTGTTATCGCTTTTTTGGGTAAAATGTTAAGCTCAGATTTCGTGAGTGAATTTTACCTAGATTTACGAGATATCTGGTTGATCCTGCCTGAACTGATGTGTTCATTTCAAAGATTAAGCCATGCATGTATAAGTTTAATCGTTTTAACGAGAAACCGCGAACGGCTCATTACAATGGCCATGATTTACTTGATCTTGATTATCTAAATGGATAACTGTGGAAAAGCTAGAGCTAATACATGCACCAAAGCTTTGTCCTATCGGAAAAGCGCATTTATTAGAACAAAACCACGCGGCTTCGGCTGCTTCTTGTTGACTCAGAATAACTAAGCTGACCGCATGGCCTTGTGCTGGCGGCGTGTCTTTCAAGCGTCCACTTTATCAACTTGACGGGAGCATAATCGACTCCCGTGGTGGTGACGGATAACGGAGGATCAGGGTTCGACTCCGGAGAAGGGGCCTGAGAAATGGCCACTACGTCTAAGGATGGCAGCAGGCGCGCAAATTACCCACTCTCGGCTCGAGGAGGTAGTGACGAGAAATAACGAGATCGTTCTCTTTGAGGCCGGTCATCGGAATGGGTACAATTTAAACCCTTTAACGAGTATCAAGCAGAGGGCAAGTCTGGTGCCAGCAGCCGCGGTAATTCCAGCTCTGCTAATACATAGAATTATTGCTGCGGTTAAAAAGCTCGTAGTTGGATTCGTATCGGTACCCTGGAACCCTCCGGGTGTTTCTGGGTGTTATCGATTTTTCGTAATGTTCGGTTTAGAGTCCTTAACAGGATTCTTAACAGGCATTGCAAGTTTACTTTGAACAAATCAGAGTGCTTCAAACAGGCGTTTTCGCTTGAATGATCGTGCATGGAATAATAGAAAACGATTTCGGTTCAGTTTTATTGGTTTTACGGACTGAGATAATGGTTAACAGAGACAAACGGGGGCATTTGTATGGCCCCGTGAGAGGTGAAATTCTTGGACCGTGGCCAGACAAACTACAGCGAAAGCATTTGCCAAGAATGTCTTCATTAATCAAGAACGAAAGTCAGAGGTTCGAAGGCGATCAGATACCGCCCTAGTTCTGACCGTAAACGATGCCAACTAGCGATCCGCCGATGGAAATTATATTGCCTTGGTGGGGAGCTTCCCGGAAACGAAAGTCTTCCGGTTCCGGGGGAAGTATGGTTGCAAAGCTGAAACTTAAAGGAATTGACGGAAGGGCACCACCAGGAGTGGAGCCTGCGGCTTAATTTGACTCAACACGGGGAAACTCACCCGGCCCGGACACTGTGAGGATTGACAGATTGATAGCTTTTTCATGATTCAGTGGATGGTGGTGCATGGCCGTTCTTAGTTCGTGGAGTGATTTGTCTGGTTTATTCCGATAACGAGCGAGACTCTAACCTACTAAATAGCTGGTACATACTCTTAGTGTATACAGCTTCTTAGAGGGATTTGCGGTGTTCAGCCGAAAGAAATTGAGCAATAACAGGTCTGTGATGCCCTTAGATGTCCGGGGCTGCACGCGCGCTACACTGGCAAAATCAACGTGCTTGTCCTACCCCGAAAGGGGCGGGTAAACCATTGAAAATTTGCCGTGATTGGGATCGGAAATTGCAATTATTTTCCGTGAACGAGGAATTCCAAGTAAGTGCGAGTCATCAGCTCGCGTTGATTACGTCCCTGCCCTTTGTACACACCGCCCGTCGCTGCCCGGGACTGAGCCATTTCGAGAAATTTGGGGACCGTTGATTTAATTTTTCTAAATTACTTTGATGGAAACCAATTTAATCGCAGTGGCTTGAACCGGGCAAAAGTCGTAACAAGGTAGCTGTAGGTGAACCTGCTGCTGGATCATTACTTTATGTGATGTTCAAATTTGAATTCGCAATGAAATACTCGTTGTGAAACGGCTGTCGCTGGTGTCTAGGTGTTGCTGATACAGTTGTGAACGTCCGTGGCTGTATATGTGGTGACATGTTAGGACTCTAATTACAGAGTTTAAGACTTAATGAGCCTCTTAAGTGAGGACGCCAGCAAATTTTTTTTCTCTACATTTTAAAAGAAACGAAAATTTCTAGCCTTATCGGTGGATCACTCGGCTCGTGGATCGATGAAGAACGCAGCAAACTGCGATAATTTGTGCGAACTGCAGAAACCTTGAGCACAAAAGTTTTGAACGCATATTGCCGCATTGGGGTCAAACCCTTTGCTACGTCTGGTTCAGGGTCATTTCTTTTAAAGCGAAAGCTTTTATTTTATATATTGCTTTTTATGCTATATATTCTAAAATGAGTTTTTTTTATCGTAATTGTTAAGCATAACAGCAACAATAATTAATTTTTGACCTGAACTCAGTCGAGAGCACCCGCTGAACTTAAGCATATCAGTAAGCGGAGGAAAAGAAACTAAACAGGATTCCCCCAGTAACGGCGAGTGAACAGGGAAATGTCCATCGCTAAATCATTTTGCCTCAGGCATTATGAGGTGTAGCGTATAAGCAGTAATCTTTGATCTTTTGTCTCTAACAAGTCCCCTTGACAGGGGTTCCATAGAAGGTGCAAGTCCTGTACATTGAGATAAATGATTGATATTTGCGTGCTTTAGAGTCGGGTTGTTTGGGATCGCAGCCCAAAGTCGGTGGTAAACTTCATCTAAGACTCAATATTGCCACGAGACCGATAGCAAACAAGTACTGTGAAGGAAAGTTGCAAAGCACTTTGAAGAGAGAGTTAAAGAGGACGTGAAACCGATGAGGTGGAAACGGATAGAGTCGGCGTATCTTTCAAGTATTCATTTACATTATTTTTGTGTTGTGATCTCTGAGCTCCAGATTGGGACAGAGGGAAGCAACATAATTTTTTGTGATGCATTTACTTGTTTGGTGCTTGGGGATGTTTGAGGCAGATTTGTAACCGCCGTTTTGAGGCCAGCTTGCTGGTACCCAAACGGTGCTAGCATTTTTTGTCTTGGACATTTGAGTATGGCTTACGGGCATTTATTGGTTCGATCTGAGTGTTAGGTACGGTCGCATGCGACACGTGCTTTTCAATTAGTTCGGTCCAGTTAATGCTCTCGTACTCTTTCCCCATGTAAAAGCCGGTCATCTATCCGACCCGTCTTGAAACACGGACCAAGGAGTTTATCGTGTGCGCAAGTTTTTGGGTGTTAAAAACCTAAAAGCGAAATGAAAGTAAATGGCTCTTTGGAGTCTGATGTGCGATCTTGTAAAAAGGTGCAGCATGGCCCCATTCTAACTGTTTACAGTAGGGTGGCGGAAGAGCGTACGCGTTGAGACCCGAAAGATGGTGAACTATTCCTGAGCAGGACGAAGCCAGAGGAAACTCTGGTGGAAGTCCGAAGCGGTTCTGACGTGCAAATCGATCGTCTGACTTGGGTATAGGGGCGAAAGACTAATCGAACCATCTAGTAGCTGGTTCCCTCTGAAGTTTCCCCCAGGATAGCTGGAGCTCACGAGTAGTTATACTCGGTAAAGCGAATGATTAGAGGACTTGGGAACGAAATGTTCTTAACCTATTCTCAAACTCTAAATGGGTATGATGTCAAAGTTGCTTGATTTTGAACTTTGGCGTTGAATACGAGCTCCAAGTGGGCCATTTTTGGTAAGCAGAACTGGCGATGTGGGATGAACCAAACGCGGAGTTGCGGTGCCAAAGTGCCCGCTCATTAGACCCCATAAAAGGTGTTGGTTGATACAGACAGCAGGACGGTGGCCATGGAAGTCGGAATCCGCTAAGGAGTGTGTAACAACTCACCTGCCGAATCAACTAGCCCTGAAAATGGATGGCGCTGGAGCGGGCCACCTATACTCTGCCGTCATATGCTTGTATTTTTAAGTCTTGCAATGACGTGTAAGAGGGTCGTAGTGGTTGCGTTGAAGGCTTTGGGTGTGCACCCAGCTGGAGCTTCCACTAGTGCAGATCTTGGTGGTAGTAGCAAATATTCAAGTGAG